TTCGTCACTTCAGGTCAAAGTGCTTCATCCTTAGCACTTTGGGACAAAGTGCCTCGTCCTTCGTCACTTTAGGTCAAAGTGCTTCATCCTTTGGCACTTCAGGACAAAGCGCCTCATCCTTCAACACTTCATCAACAAGTGCCTTATCCTTGGCACTTCATCAACAAGTGCCTCATCGTTCATCACTTCAGGTCAAAGTACCTCATCCTTTGGCACTTCAGGACAAAGTGCTTTATCCTTCAACACTTCATCAACGAGTGCCTCATCCTTTTGCACTTCATCAACAAGTGTCTCATCATTCCTCACTTCAGGTCAAAGTGCTTCATCCCTAGCACTTCAGGACAAAGTTCCTCATCCTTCGTCACTTCAGGTCAAAGTGCCTCATCCTTTGGCACTTCAGGACAAAGTGCCTCATCCTCAGCACTTCATCAACAAGTGTCTCATCCATAGCACTTCCGGAAAAATTTGCACAAGTTCAAAAAATTATAAAGCGCCTCCTATTGACAAAGATCAAAGGAGAAGCCTCCACATGGATGAACCATCCACCGTGTGGGGATGTGTGGGCTCTTCGAAGAAGATGATCAGGTCCAAGAAGGGACTATCTCATTAGCTCTTCGAGGCAGACATCACATGCCTCCCATAACGAGGCTGAACGTTATGGGAGAAGCCTCCACATGGATGAACCATCCACCATGTGGGGAAGTGTGGGCTCTTCAGAGAAGAGGATCAGGTCCAAAAAGGGACTACCTCATTGACTCTTTGAGGCAGACATCACAAGCCTCCCATAACGAGGCTGAACGTTATGGAAGAAGCCTTCACATAGATGAACCATCCACCATGTGGGGAAGCGTGGGCTCTTCGGAGAAGAGGATCAGGTCCCAAAAGGGACTACCTCATTGGCTCTTTGAGGCAGACATCACAAGCCTCCCATAACGAGGCTGAACGTTATGGGAGAAGCCTCCACATGGATGAACCATCCACCATTGGTGAAGCGTGGGCTCTTCGGAGAAGAGGATCATGTCCAAAAAGGGACTACCTTATTGGTTCTTCGAGGCAGACATCACAAGCCTCCCATAACGAAGCTGAACGTTATGGAAGAAGCCTCCACATGGATGAACCATCCACCATGTGGGGAAGCGTGGGCTTTTTGGAGAAGAGGATCAGGTCCCAAAAAGGACTACCTCATTGGCTCTTGGAGGCAGACATCACAAGCCTCCTATAACGAGGTTGAACGTTATGGGAGAAGCCTCCACTTGGATGAACCATCCACCATGTGGGGAAGCGTGAGCTCTTCGGAGAAGAGGATTAGGTCCTAAAAGGGATTACCTCATTGGCTCTCCGAGGCAGACATCACAAGCCTCCCATAGCGTGGCTGAACGTTATGGGAGAAGCCTCCACATGGATGAACCATCCACCATGTGGGGAAGCGTCATGGGAGAAGTTATGACCCGAGGCATGAAAATGAGCCTCGACAGTACAGCTTTTCTCTGCCTCAGCT